CCCCGAACTACCCCTAAATACCACCAGAAGTAAATGGGAAGCTGCTGTTTTGAAGCAGATCCAAGTCTCAAGACTGTCGATTCGACAATCAAGTAAATGGAGACAAGACAGGAGTGTGGAAGACATGAGATCAGATTACAATATCCCTAATGCTGTTTCCTTTTAAGTCTACAGAGCCCTTTTTAAAGCTGAGTTTTGCTTGTTAAAAGGAGACTACAGGACCATTGGTGCTTATTTTCAAAGTTTTATGCCACATAATGATAGATAGCAGTACTAACCAGAAGGAAAACTGAAATACAGGTGGAGCAAGTAGGAGTAAGACTATTACATTACATTACATTGCATTTAAATGACGCTTTTATCCAAAGCGACTTACAATAATTGCATTCGACCAACAAGATACAAACTTGAAGAAAACAGAATCATATAAGTACATCAGGTTTCATAGAGCTAAAACATTTCAAGTGCTACTCAACTATAAATGTTTTATATTTAAAGTATTGCAAAAGTTTGGTTTACGGGGTTGTTTTAATTATCTAAGGGCTGATAGTGTTAGTTACTGATGGCTGAACTTGCATTTCAAGCCCTTCGTCTGGAATGTAAATAAATCTTACCGTGGGTCAAAGTCTGCGATGGTCTTCAGGGAGTCTGGGCTCCGCAGCAGCTTGTCCAAAAGGTTGACGATGTCTCCAAAGCGCGGCCTCTTGGAGCGATCCTGGAGCCAGCACTGCAGCATCAGCTGGTAAACAGCGGAGGGGCAGTCCATGGGCGCAGGCAGCCGAAAAGCCTCGTTGATAGCCTTCATCACCTGCAAAAAATGTTCAAGTGATTATTTAGATATCCTCTCACCGGTATATTTCTTCAAATCAAAACATCTTTTGACATAAAAATGTGGCTCTAACAGCAACAAACCTCAGAGAAAAATGTGATTTGTAAACTTACCTCATGGTTACTCATATCCCAGTAAGGCCTCTCGCCAAAGGCCATGACCTCCCACATGACGATGCCAAAACTCCACACATCGCTAGCTGAGGTGAACTTCCTGTATGCTATTGCCTCTGGAGCCGTCCAGCGGATAGGGATCTTACCTCCCTGTACAGGTAAAAAGGCTTCAAGTTAGAGACTTGAGGGAGAAAAAAAAGTCCTTAATCTAATCTGGATCTGTCTCAATCTATTTTAAAGCTAATCTATTTAGCTTCAAGCTAACAGGAAGTCATACATCTACTTACACTTGTAGTGTACGTCCCCTCAGGATCGTCCTCCAGCACCCTGGACAGTCCAAAGTCTGACACTTTACACTCCAGTTCATTGTTGACGAGGATGTTGCGGGCAGCTAGATCTCGGTGCACGTAGCTCATGTCAGAGAGGTACTTCATGCCGGCAGCGATGCCACGCAGCATGCCCACCAGCTGGAAGGAGGGAAACTCGCCATCATGGTCCTAATGGGAGAAAAGGAGCAAATATTAAATTAAGTTTTGTGATCAAAACAAAGAGAAACAGATATGATAGTACAGTAAAGGAAAAATGTGATGCTATGTCACTGGTATTGTATGCGGTTAACTTACCTTGAGGTACCTGTCCAGTGCTCCATTCTCCATGTACTCGGTCACAATCATGGCATGTTTGACTGCACACACACAAAAAAAGCAACAAATCATGTCCCCAAACTGGCCCAAAATCAGGTGAGAATACTGTAAGAGAAGGAAAAAAAACCTTACAAAACTCACAGAAATCCTTACATTTGGTGACCACCCCCTCCAACCGAATGATGTTCTGGTGGGAGAATTGGCCCATGATGGAGGCCTCGCTTAGGAAGTCCTGCCTCTGCTTCTCCGTGTAACCCGGCTTCAGTGTCTTGATCGCCACTGCAACTTCTTTCCTCCCCGGAGGCTTCAGGTTGCCGCGATACACCTCACCAAACTCCCCTGAAGGACAACAACAACATCAATGGGACAATTGAATAAGAAAAGTAAATATCAGTGGAATGTGTGTGTTTGATACATCTTCTCAGGTTACTAGCTGCAGGGGTATGCTGTGCAACAGAGGGAAAACAAGGAAGTCTCTGAGGCTGTTTTGCCTGAGGCTGTCTCAAAGAGGTGTGTTCTGGCTGGGTGTTGAAAGATGGGCTATGTTGTGTAATTGGTGGATGGCCTGTGGTGTGGAGTCATGGGAATCAGCTGTCACATGAGGAGAAAAGGAGGGGG